ACTGCCTCGCCTTTCTCTTACATCTGTTGCACTGGCTCCGTTTAGATGTGTGATGATTAAAGCTGTATACAAGTCAATCTGCCACTGCGAGCATGAGTAAACAAGCGCCCTTGACATCCTAATCGGTTTGTTAAAAGAAAAACAGGCAATACCTTGAGCATCTCCACCACTTGTCAGGACGCCAATGGACTTCCCTGCTCCAGAGAGGTTCTCGATGAATTTTTTGGTGTCCGGCATTATTCCACAGGTGTCTTTGCAAACAGAGCAATGCCTTTAATTCTCGGGTAAAGTGAGAGCAATCCAAAGCAAGCTGGAGAGGATAAAAGGCTCCGCCGATCAACTTCTCCTCCCGTGTCGGACGCGCGCGGTCCGGTAGGCTCACATCCACCGCCCCATGCAGGATTGACAGCAGCGCCACGCAATAGTCCTGCGGATCACGTCTCATCTGGACGAATTTAGACCAATTGCCTTCCGATGTTGGGATTAAAGAAGTGACAAGGGAGTCCTTTGCTTTCGTCAAGTTTAGAGTTATTATAATACAATTCGCATACTAAAGATCCAGCATCCCTTACCAAAAAGTAGTATACTTCAAGTTTATTTTAGTAAGTATACTTAAGTAAAGTTCAAGTATATTTTTAAGAATACTTTATGTAGCAAGTATACAAATATCAGTGTACTAGTAATATACTTGAAAGTGTACTATTTCAATACTCCTTGGGACTAAATTGGCCCACTTTCTAGTATATAAAAGTATAATTTTAAGTATACTGCAAATGCAACACGATATTCTTTCATAGTTCTTGCAGCACGTATAAAAAGAGATAAAGTTACTGTCATTAAGGAAGTAGTTTCACTCATGAAATGAGTGTGAAATTAGTTCATGGTAATAAAACAGACAAAACTTGTGACCTGGTAACAGAATCTACTATCTATAGAACAACTATAGCAACCTTAATCCAGTCAACAAAAAAGGTGAACCTCAGGCAACTGTGAACTGTGAGATTCTTCCTGAAGCCACTTATACACAAAATCTGTATATGACTTTGATATTTTCCCTCAGAGAGTATATTCGAGTGTGTGTGTGTGTGCAGGGGCGCGCTGTGGTTTGTGGGCCCCCCTGAACAGCATATTTGCATATTTACCCCCTCTTTAGAAATCGCGTTTCCCCCTCGTGGGCCCCCTCTAACGCCGGGCCCTTGGAATCGTCCTAACCTTTCTCCCTTACGGCGCCCCTGAGAGTGTGTACACACATATATATATATGGTTTATGAGGACACAAATGTGTATAATGACATGGGTACTACAACGTAAACATGGTTTATGAGGACACTTCCTGTGTCCCCGTAAAACAAAAGGCTTAAAAAACATACAAAACAGTGTTTTATGAAATTCAAAAATTGCCAGCAGTTTCCTGTAAGGGGTAGGTTTAGGTGTAGGGTTGGTGTAGGGCAATAGAAAATACAGTTTGTACAGTATAAAAACCATTACGCCTATGGAGAGTCCCCGTAAACCACAAATACAAGTATGTGTGTGTGTGTGTGTGTGTGTGTGTGTGTGTGTGTGAGAGAGAGAGAGAGAGCATCGCCTTGCAAACAGGTTTGTGAAGACTTGTAGCAAGAAAAAGGGGAACCACATCATGATGATAGTGACACTTTATCAAAGATTTAAAAACTAACGTACATAGTTCTTAATACATATTTTAAAGCAACTGTATGTATTTTTTTATCTTAAAATATCAGTACTAAATCATGACGGTGCGCTTACAATGGCGTCTGTTTCTTTCCCACGCTTACCACAGTGATTTACGACAGTGATTTTCACTCACTTAACTGTAGGAGGCTCCAAAGTCGCAAAAATGCTCAAAACTACATGCAGTTGCTTTAATAATAAAAATAAAAATAAAATCATGATTTCATCATTTATTCACCCTCATGTTATTACAAATCTGTAGCTTATGTGTTGTTGTTTTTTTCTTCTAATGATATATATGACTAAAAGTAGAAACTGGTGGCCCTAGTGGTCAGCTCTCACTGTATGTGGCAGGAGTCCTGGGCCCGGTTGCATGAAAGCCCTTATGCTAAGAAATCCCTTCGTTATAATTAAGGGAGCCCTTAGTGAAACTTGGGTTGCAAGAAAAAAACCTTTTCAACTTAAGAAACCTTAAGGCTGCCATTAAGTATTCCCCTTCATTATTTAAGTGTTCCCTTAAGTGTTGCTACAAAGTCCTTAGTAACCATTTCACCTTAATAAATTTAAGGGACCAAAAGAGCTCCCTTAAGTCATCTTAAACTCAGTATCTGCAGGATTTTTAAACTCAAATGTAAGACTTAAGACATTTTTTAAGACCTGCACAAATAAAATATCATATGAGCGCAGTAGCCGATCGCATACGGTCTAGCAGCAGAAGTTCAAATATTTTAACGCATCCGAAGCTCAAATCGGATCCGAATTTTCCGCAACGCGCATGTAACTCCCGCACTACCCTCCATTCGAAATTAATGGCTTCCGGTCTGTCACTTGTCGTTCGTCGGAGATATGGAAAGGCGGCTTTAGTATAAACACTTAGGTAAGGGTGACAGTTAAGACGTTTGTTGCAACGCTCCTAAAGAAATCCCTTACCTCAGGGATTTTTTCGCCCTCAGGGATAGTCAGGGATAGGACTTTCATGCAACCGGGCCCTAGTGTTCAGTTTCCTTTGACAATCTCAAGACTTATGACCTGATGCTCTATTTGAGGCCTCTTTCCCAGTCCATAAATTAACTCTGCCATAACACATCTTTAAAGTTTTGAAAAAAAGAGAAAGCATTGGGCGTGTGAGTGTGTGTGGATGTGTTCTCTGTTTTTATCCTTATCTGGCCTAACTCTGTTTCTCTATATAGGTCCTATAGGTCGGGACGTCTATCAACAGGACTGAGCAGTGCACAAAGCACTAAGATAAAGAGCAAGAGCAAGTGCAGCATGAAGTGCCTGACAGTTGCTGTAGGTCAGGTGTAACAAGAGTATGAGCTGTGACAATACATGCTCTTTTTACAGACATGCCCTTGTCAGGCTTTGTTTTCCGATTGACATGACATGCTCTCTACAGGCATTACCATCTGCTTAAGCTCTTATATACTTTGAAACCTTAAAAATTTAATTTGGACACTTGGTGGATTTAACTAGTTGCTTAACATTTGACTGTAATGTGTATGTTTATATTTTAATTTGCCCAACAGACATACTTACCTTACAAATTTTCTTTGCACAGGTTGAAAGATCTTCAGATTGTTATTTATTACAAAAACTCCAGTCACTGTGAAACAACAAGTAGCAAATAAATCACTTTAAAATGAGCTCTCCACCTTATTAAAGACTACTAATATCATTATTTTTAGGTTACGTGTGTTTGAATTAATGAGCTTTCACTTCCTCCTTAGACTGATTCGAAATAAGAGATATTTAAAAAAAAAATAAAGGTCTATAAAACTCTCAGTAATGACCATTTGAGACTCCATGCCATTACCTTGTTGGAATGTAATGCAGAAACTGGCCTCTGGGGCCGGTTTCGAAACAAGTCTTAAAAAGTTAGTCATCTAAATTTTTTTCTTCAAGACTGGACATAACTTTTTAAATTCAGTTATGAAAAGATAGATTGGTCTTATTTGTATTGAAAAAGTAAGACTGATTACCCTTTGGCAACTGCTAGTTGGTCAAACTAGTTCTTAAGACACAGTCTTAAAGGAACACTCCACTATTTTTGAAAATAGGCTATTTGTTTTACCATCTATGTTGCTTTGTAGTAATGGTCTATAATCACCATTTTTGATTATTAACCTTTTTTATCCTTATTTATTAAAATGATCTATTTAGCCCTTTGAAAAGCTATGGCAATTGAACAAACTGTTAAACACACTTTGGCTCGTATGCCGTAGTCACCTGTTAGTATGTTAGTATGTTTGAATGATACGTAAATACATTCACACATCTTTTTTATGCTTTAATTTATATCTAAAATGCGCACCATCAAAAAAGTCAATAGGCATACTGGCCAATATGATTACACAAAGACCAATAAGGACGAATTCAATGTAACCGACCTCGTGGCGCAACGGTAGCGCGTCTGACTCCAGATCAGAAGGTTGCGTGTTCAAATCACGTCGGGGTCAACAGCTTTTTGCGTCTACATTACATTATTATTATGGCAGATTCTTACAACAACAACAGCATTTATTTATAAAGCACATTTAAACACAATGTAAATTGATCCAAAGTGCTGTACAATGATCAAACAAATCTACTAATAGAAACAACAACTACACGCATACAAAGGCTAAAGAGTAAAAATAAGATTTAAGTCTAGACTTAAAAATGTCCAAAGAAGGAGCAGATCTCACATGATAGGGGAGACCATTCCAAAGCTTGGGGCCAACCACAGAAAAAGCACGATCACTTTTGATTTGTACCTACACCATGGTACAGTTAGAAGCAAGTGACTCAAAGATCTAAGTGCCCTAGCAGCAGGACAATATGGCACAAGAAGTTCAGAGATATAACTTGGTGCACAACCAGACAATGCCTTGTAAACAAACAGATGAATTTTTAAATCAACCCTGAATTTAACTGGAAGCCAATGAAGGGATGATAAAACAGGAGAAATGTGATCCCTCTTTTTTGACCCAGTCAAAAGTCTTGCCGCAGCATTTTGAACAGCTTGCAATCGTGACACTGAAGATTGAGGAAGACCAGAATAAAGAGAGTTACAATAATCCAATCGAGATGTAACAAGTGCATGAATCACAACTTCCATATCCTTCCTTGAAAGAAGATGCTTCAACTTTGTAATAGATCTCAAATGGAAAGAACTTGCTCTAATAACAGCACTAATTTGTTTATCAAAAAATAGAGAGGAGTCAAAAATCACTCCAAGGTTTTTTATTTGTTTGCGTACATTAGTTGAAAGTGGACCTAACTGAGCTTCCAAAGCAGGAGACAAATGTGCAGGACAAGCAAATATTAAAACCTCGGTTTTATCCTAATTTAACTGCAGGAAATTGTTAGACATCCATGTCTTAATATCATGTACACATTTCAATAAAACATCAAATGAAACAGCAGAATCAAGCCTTACTGGTAGATAAAACTGAGAATCATCCGCGTAACAATGATATGAAATACTGTATTTTTGAAAAATGTGGGCCAAGGGAAGCATATAAAGGGAAAACAGTAAAGGTCCCAAAATGGATCCCTGGGGCACTCCACACAAGACAGGTGCAGAGTGTAGCGAATCAGCTCATGGGGAAATATGAATAATTAATCATAACTAGTTATAATTAATTATAAATATTTAGATCCGCTGTAGATATTTACTTGACCTCTCAGGGTCAACTGTCTTGTCAATT